AGACCAATCTGTTGAAGCCCCTGCCCCTGATCCACCAGGAACATCGCGACCGATCCGTACCAGGTGCCCTCCTGCACGACTCAAGGACTACGTCTGCTCTTAATGGGCCTTTCGTTCTGGTCATTTGTCTGCTTCTTGGGGGGAAGTGATGTAGTGATGTGGATTTTATGTGTGCGCGTGCAACACATATAGCAGCGGGGAAAAGGAGAAAGAGGAAGAATAAATCCAGGGAATGGAAATGGCTGCCCCTCGTTCATTCTACACGCAGTAGTAGCACACCGCTTATGCACCGCGACTGCAACTCTACACAAACTACCAGAGTGTCCTTGGACTGAGTTGTCTCTAGACTTCGCTGGACCATTTCCTGATGGCAAGTATGCCATGGTCCTCATCTACCGCACTATACAAGCAATTGTTTTCGAAATGTGTTAAACGCTAAATATATGAACGTATATGCATCTATCATGAAGCTGTTTTAGTTGGTGTCTCCCTGGATATGTTGAGACTAGGGTGCCTCAAAGCCCTTCTGTTTAGGGTGATGCCATCCTGTGTATGGTTTGCCCCAATCAAGCACGCGCGCTCGTGCAGTGCAAGTGCTGTTCGGAGCAACGTTCTCGCGCTTATAGCTTTGGCCTCGCTTGCGCTTAAAATGAAACGGAGTATAGACGCTTTACACACGCGCCAAATTACAGCCGCCATGGCTGACCTTCTCTTGTCTTACCGAGATGCCGAGCAACTGAAACGGTCGTTGACGACCCTCTACAAAGGCCGAAGCTTTAGAAAGGGACACAGTTGAATCTAATATGGCAATAACCTGGCCTGCTATGGTAATGATGAAGTGAAATAAACGGAATAAGAGGGAACAAAAACTGAAGGTCAGTTATGGCGGCGTCCATGCACAGCTGCTGCAAAGCGTCTATAGGAAACACGCTGATATTTCAGTAACACCAGTCACCGGGCCAACTGTCTTTCGTACACAGCATGAGAAGCAATGCAAGGCGCACCTAATTCATTAGGTCATTATGTGTAACTGTGTCACCTGCGACGCTGCCGTCTTTTATTGCTGTGTGCACAATCAACGTTTCCCTCAATTTACCTCGGTGGTCATCGCGCTACTGCCGGCAACATGCAGTCACGGAAGCCACAAGCACTATACCACAAGACACGAGCTGAAGTCACCAAAGGACCTGTTCCGGCCAGTGACTGTAATGTGCACTAAGGTCACTGTATCCTTGGAAAGATAGCGCCACTGCTGGCATACAGACGACCCGAATCTCCCAAGGCGATTGGCTAATTGTGCTCCGTTCCTTTGGGGATCACCATTTTGGTCCATTTAAATCTTCGAGGATTCGAGGGGGTCATTCTAAGCCACTCGCACCAAGATCACCATGGAGGATCATTGTACCGAAGACGTTCCTCGCCAACATAAGCTTCTTTGGCACTGTGTAAGCAATCAACTTATCAATAATATCCATCTCCACGGACCTCTCACAATTATATGGTTCCTCTGGTGTATTTCATTAGAAGTCAAGTCGAATCAAAATGTGTTTTTATTTGTAAAGAAGATGTTAGAATTATTTTTTAAAGATGATGTTAGACTTATTCAGACGGGGGTCCCAAAGTGTTCAAAGCGAACTGTTGAATGAACCTTTTGGTAATAAAGGGTTAGTCAGCGATTAAGTTGGCACCACATTATATATATAACAAAATCTAAAAAAAATAAATAAAAAGAAACCTGATTGCGGTATGTACATAATCACAATATAAAACGAACTGAATAGAGAGAAGGAAAGCTAGAAAGTCAAGGAGACAAGAAAGACAAAGTCTGTGTCTGCTTGTATGTGTGTGTGATTGTGGGATTGTGTGAAAGGTGTGCGTAGGAGAGAAAAATGAAACGGGGGTGAAGGGGAGGGGGGGGGGGGGGAACATAGACATTGTTGATGAATCATGCAGATAGTATCTGTAAGGAGAATCCTTTGTCAATGCCTCGCCGGTGTATGGATAGCAAAATGTCGGTATTCAAGAAACGTCTCTATAAGGCTACCCGTCACCAGCGAATTTAGATTGGCTCACCAAGAATAAAGAGATCAAGGACAAATAGACGATTTGCAATTTTCCCAAGCGCCCCGGCTCGCGCGCGAGGAATTGTGAGAGAGACTGTCCTTCACCTGGCCGCTCTGCCTTGAGATCTCAATGCCTTGTCGCTTGCCTCCTGTCAATCCTCTGTTTTTCGATTCCATTACCTATTTTATCTATTCCAGTGTAGTTTTTATTGCTTCTAAGTGTTTCTATTCTTTTCTGCGCGATATATCTTGTATATATATATATATATATATATATATAATATATATATATATATATATATATATATATATATATAGTATTTGTGCCTTTTTCCGCCTTTTTCGACGAGAGTGCCGTCGGACAACACGCCGCTTCGCGCGTCGTTCCCCGGGTGAGCACTACCTTTGCTACCGATTCCTATCGCGCTGTTAGCTGTTCATTTTGGTTTATTTGACCCGCGTGCAGTCAAGAGCAGCCGTTTATGAACAACCGCGCACATGTCATAGGGGTAGGCAGAGCTCTGAATCAACAATCGCGACGCAAGAGCCGAGTGCGCTGTGATTTGGCCGCCCGCGCTCGCTTCGTTGACTCGCACTGTAGCGTATGCCTTCGAATGCCGCTTAACTTGACCAAGATACAGCACGCCGCTTTGCCGTCGCGAATCATTTGTCCGAACGCCTGCGAAACCGTAACACTATTCGGCATATCCAACGCTGCGGCGCCTGGCATGCACGCAGCGGCGCGAGCCCTTAGCAAGCACCGGCGGTTCAACGTCGCGGCTTGTATGCGCGTTTGGCAGGCATTCATGATCAGTCTCCTTGGCGGTTGTCAGTTGCTGACATCTTGACTCGAGCATCAGCTGACATCTTGACTCGAGCATCAGCTGACATCTTGACTCGAGAACTAAAATTATCGAAAGAACTACGAGTTTCAAGATGACTGCCTGGGTGACAGCACATCTCTGCACTTGAAAAAAGGTGTTTGCAGCTGACAAGCGCTTAGCAGATAGATTAACGAGGCGTACCATAAGCGCATACAAGCCGCGACGTTGGGCCACCGGCGCTTGCGAAAGGCTCGCGCCGCTGCGCGCAGTTTGTCAGGCACCGCGCGTTAAATAGGACGAACGGTGTTACGGCTTCGCAGGCTATCGGACAGATGATTCGCGACAACACATCTCTGCACTTGAAAAAGGGCGTTGGCAACTGACAACCGCTTAGCAGATAGGTTACGAAGGCATGCCATAGGCGCATTCAAGCCGCGACATTGAGCCGTCGGCGTTTGCGAAGGGATCGCGCCGCAGCGCGCAGTTGTCAGGCGACGCAGCGTTGCATATGCCTCAGCTTCGCAAACATTCAGACAAATGGTTCGCGGCGACAAAGCGGCGTGCTGTATCTTGGTCATGTAGGCGGCACTCGAGGGCACACGCTACAGTGCGAGTCAACGGAGCGAGCGCGGGCGGCCAAATCACAGCGCACTCAGCTCTCGCGTCGCGATTCTTGATTGAGAGCTCTGCGTTCCCCTATGACATGTTCGCGGGTGTTCATAAGCGGCTCCTTTCGACTGGAGGCGGGTCCAATGAACCAACATGAACAACTAACAGCACGATAGGAATCGGTAGCAACGATAGTACTCACCCGGGGAACGACGCGCGAAGCGGCGTGTTGTCCGTCGGCACTCCCGATGAAAAAGGTGAAATAAAGACACAAATACTATATGCAAGAAATATCGCGCGCCGAAGAGAATAGAAACACTTAGAAGCAATAAAAAAATACACTGTAATAGATAAAATAGGTAATGCAATCGAAAAACAAAGGATTAAGAGTAGGCAAGCGACAAGGCAATTCGATCTCAAGACAGAGCGGCCAGGCGAGGGACAGTCTCTCCCACAATTCCTCGCGCGCGGGCCGGGGCGCTCGGGGGATTTCGCAAAAGGTCTATTGCTTATTTTATGAACCGAAATGGCGGCCATACGGGGAGCTTGTCGCTATGTTTCCAGAATCCAGTGACTTTAGTGTGCGCTAGCCCACTCGGCCACCAGTCTGAGCCCGACCACATGCAGTGGATCAAGAACATTGCCACAATACGTGGTGTGCGAAGATATAGAAGTATGCTTCAATCAGAAAAACCAGATTAAAAGAAAAAAAAAATGCATGTTTGCCCATTAGAAAACAAACAACAAAAAACGTTGGCAGTCGTTGTATTACACTTGAACGATACCACATACAACGATGTACCGCTTACAACGATCAGTTTCTAGTCCGGATACAACGCTAATTGGTTATAACTTATAACGATTGCAATTTCGGATATTCTCATTATCCTTATAAGTGGACTGCAGTGTAAAACGAATTCTTGAAGCCGTAAATTTCAGTGTGTTAGATAGTCCTATTTCGAAGGCACTGAACCGCATTCTTGTGTTTCTGAAGCGGTCAAAAATAGCTTTGCGACTCACGGAGCTTAAAAACGGGTCCGAAAACAGCGGTGGTTTAGCATTTGTTTCACTAGCAATTAAACGTTTGCATATACTAACGTGCTAGGGATAGTATCGTATTCTAGCATAACGCCAAACGATGCTCTCGGCTACTGAAGAAGCATCTTTTATGACTGAAGCACGCTTGTATATCCTCACCCGAACAAACAGCTGGCGGCACCGTTCTTGGCGATGAAGAAAAGAGAGGATGCCCGCCGAAACAACAAAAACCTTGCTCTCCTTGCCAAGCTTCTTTGGTGCCACACACGCACTTCTGAGCCGTGAATGGAAGCCGGGATGGGGCGAGGAGGTTGCGGGACCCTGGGACGAGAACTTCCGGAAGGGCATGGTCACGTGGAACGCTCTGATCTGGAGGCACTCCAGTTTCTCGTTCCAACCGCGGAGACGAATGCTTGGGAGCTCAATGTGCACGATCGCTTGGGATTACGCCCGTGGCGGTTTTCGATTCAACGGTGGAGCCAGAACAAAACGTAAGGGAGCGAAACATTTATGTTCTTAAAGAGTACAAGCAATAATGCTCTCTCTTTTGAAATCCAACCGACTGATTTCCAAATATGCGGACGCTTTTAGCTACCCTGAAGCTATGCGCGGTTGGCGGCCACTATTAATTGAATTTCGTTTCACTTTAGGGAGTGATTCAATGATTTTCCCACTTTCATAAAATACCACTTAGATCTAATCTTTGACGTCCATAAACAACGAAATACGCGTTAGTTTTTCTTTTTAAGCTCTGGCAATCGCAGAAGATAATGAAAAACGAGCAGCGTTCAGTCCTTCAACTCGCAGTCAAAACAAGTGGCCACGTAATCTGGAGCTGATTTTCATATCGTGGCCCTTGGGAAGGTCAGCCTTTGGGAAGATCATGGCGGCACGGTGCAGCACTGAGTTAAATTTCAGACGCATGTTCTTCCCAGAAGTGGCGCACGGCACGTGTCTCGAGCATTTCCACTACAATGAAGGGCGCCACTTTTCCCAGGATAGAGGGGCCTTGACCAGAACAAGTGGCGACGTGGTCTGGTGCCTATCCTGTGCCGCCCAGGTTAATGGGAGTTTTAGTAGATCGGTTTTAAAGGCCCGCTGCCGCTAGGGGCGCGCGCTTATGAACGTATATCGTGATGGCAGAGTGAGCTCCCGCTAAGAAATAGCGTGGTCTGAAAACACGATCTACTAAAACTCTCTAATCACAGCCACGCGCTGAGGTTGGCAAAGCAAAAAACGCCTGCTGAGCTCAAAGCATTGTCAGAGCTCGGCTATTCTCATCACCGCAGTGGTTGGACACGAGCGACTACCTGCCGAGGCATTGACTGTTACGAACTGAAGTCGAGTGCTCACGCAGTTCTCGTGTCCAATCCATCATGAGCCGCGCTCGACTGTCGTCAGGCGGATGGTTTCGATCTCACAATTATGTCATCGAGCTTTGCGAAGGCAAGACTGAAAGAAATAGTCCCCTTTTATCCTCGCACTTTCACCGCGATAAAGGAGCTTCTGAACCAGTGGCGGTCTGTTCGAGTATATTTGGGCCAGACTAGGACCAGTAGGTTTCTGCAAAATCATGAACATCCCAACCAAATATCGTTTCATGACCCCTTTAAAGGCTCTACTAGCATCAATGAAAACGTGACGCCAGTGGCAGGCAGTGGTTTACTTTTTGGACTGTAGAATTTGTTCACAACTGCTTCCAAGCAGTTTTATGGTGTAAGATGAATGCTTTAGAAGCTCGCTCCAGTACCAGCGCACCAGCACGAAACAGATATGCTTGACATAGTCTTTTTCTTTTTTGCCTGCTTTTTGCTGGCAGGGGTGCCTGGCACTGATGTCACGGCGCTGAAAAGTGCGGTTATATTTGAACGTTGGCTTCGGCGTTATTTTCATCTTCAAATTTCACAATAACTATTCTAAATTTCGCGGTACTAAATAACACACCGGAAAGGCCAAAGGCAGGGAACTCAGAAAATAAAGTTAGTTGGGGTTGCTCGAAAAATGGCTTAGCAGGGGCACCCGTGCAGTGCGAGCATCCTTCAGACATGTTCAGGCATGTTCAGGGAAACACGCTCGAGCATGTAGCTTCGACTTCGCTCGCACAGAGGCGAACATAAGCGGAAAATGTTCCTCTCGGCTCTTGTGCTCCCAGTTGAAATCACATCGAAGTCTAAAAGTGTTTCAAACATTGCACTACAAGCAACGTGTCAAATGTAAAGCCGCATTCACACTGCTCGTCATGCAAAACGCGAAGTGTTCGCCGCATACATGATGGCAAAATTATGCCCGGATAATTTTGCCATAATGTCCAGGCATGTTTGCCTCATGCAGGCTCCAAACACGTCAGCAGACTGTTTTTGCATGACCAATGTTACAGGATCGACGGGGAATTGAGACGCGCCTCGGGCAGCCCTTGCAGATTATTTCTTGTATGACGTGTCAGCATTGTGAGCGTGGCTTTAAGCACAAAAGAGACGAGGTAACCGTACCAGTTGGAGATGCACCGAGCCACGAGTACTGCTGATAAAGACTGCCGGGAGGTCCCGCGTCCTTTTCGTTGCCGACCTGTGCAGTACAGGGTGTGGGTTGGTCGGCACTTTGCCAGACGGATTCTACTCCCAGGTTAGAGTGGAGCCCTATAGTGTCGGACGAGTCGAAAATAGAAGCCTGAAAGGGATCTATTTTCCGCGGGGCTTCCCTCTGAAAGTGTTACGTCAGTATGACGTGGTAGGTGAACATTTGACTTTAGGACGGTAACTTCGAGATACACCATATGTGGGGGCATTATTTTGAATGAATAAGGCGAATTATTTTGGTCTCGATTCATTCGAGTTTAAGCTATGATCAATTAGAGGCCCATTTTATTCTACCAAATCCAAGTTTTAATCGAACAAACATTTGTTTTTAACCTTAGTATTTGGATATTTCTAGCCTGACATTGACCCCGGAAATGGGCACCAAGGAGCGTGAAATCTAAAAAATAAATACCACCCCCCCCCCAAAAAAAAAGACAAAAAAAAAAACGCTCTTTACCTTAGAAAAAAAAAAAAAAAATCTCGAAAACACAAAACCTTAAATGTTGTCAGCGGAAAAAAAAAAAAGCTTAAAACATTGCGAGGAAAGTCGGCCCATTTTTGATTAGTCAACACGTGCGTAGGATTTCATGGTAATGTTCATCACCTGTTTACAATCATGTATCAGGACGCCTTTATCCACCTAAAAGACACGTGGATAAACGAAGTCTCCAGACAACGCTACTGGGCACTTCCATCATCGTTGATTGCGTCGTGAACGTATATATACACGTATTTGTTTTTAGACAGTCTCAGTAATCTTTGCTAAGCAAAAGTGCCTGATAAGTTAACGTAGTCTTCCGCGAATATCTCCTATTTTCGGTTCGCATTCGAAGGACAGCGCGGTTCTCACGGCCATTATCAGCCAATCACCTGTCAAGTGTGGCGTATCTTGAAAAAAAAAAAAAAAAAAAAAAAAAAAAAAAAAAAAGAAGCAAGAAAAAAAAACATGGGAACGAAAAAAACACAATCAGCAAGTTTTCTTTTTGGGGTAGATACACGTCAGCTTCGAACATAAAGATTATAGCGGGGGAACGAGATATACCGTCATGTAGAGACAAGGAAGTGCGGAACAACAAAAGGTACAGAGCGCGACACTGTTAGCGCGAACAAGCGATCGCCGGTTTTTTCAGTTTTTCTCTTTGAAACCAAGGGATGTCATCCAAGTTATTATTGCTACGGAAAGAGCTCATTTAGTTCTATAATGTAAGCAATAAAAGTTCATGTTCGCTCATAATATCTAGAAGTAAAATGCGAAAATCCGCCAACGCCGTGTTCGCGCTAACAGTGTCGCGATGTGTACGTGAGCCTAAATCTAGGTCAACCACTTTTTACTTTAACTCATAGTTTTGGCAGGAGTGAATATTAGATGGGGACTATAAAATACATACAGTCACTGGCAATACGAGAACGACAGAGACGAGTTTCAGTTGTCCCGCACGAGCCTCCCACCTTCGACAACACTTCGCTGTCCCGTGTACCTCGAGTGCGCCCGCGCAGTCAAAGCACCGCGGGAGGCGTGGAGCGCGCACTGGGGTCCGAACAATCGGCAGACACGCCCTACCGTTCTCACTCTGTCAGTGTCTAGTAGAGCATTGCACGGGCCCTGGCCAGCCCGAAGTCCCGAGCCCGTGCAGTTCAGGCACGTATTTTCTCGAACCAGGGCTGGGCTCAATCTTGAACAAACAAGTTTTAGGGCCGTGTCTGGGCAGTCATGTGCCGCAAATTCTGAATTGTTGATAACAAAAAGTGTGCCCATTGATCTTTTAGGTTCAGTACAAACAAACAAGTGAAATGCAAAGTAACTACGGCGCGGTTAAAGAAAAAGGACAAAAAGACGCTAGTCTTGCACTTGGATTGCCCTCAAGTGGGTAAAAAAAAAAAAAAAAAAAACGTATGGGCTCCACCAGCATAGTGGGAGAGTGCGCGCTTTATGCCTGGACAGTTTTTAGGTTAAAGCCTGCAAACGTTTTCGGGCTTACGTTTCTAATCTGTCGGCCTCAAACAAAACTCGAACACATATTAAAAAAAAAAAAAAAAAAAATTTTCGGATTGGGGCCGTGCTTGGGCTTATGTCTAAAACTTCTGTCGGGCTCGTGCTGGGCCCGGGCAGTGGCTCTACCCGGCCGGGTCTCTACCGGGCCGGGTCGGGCCGGTCCTAGAAATTAAATATCCTGTCGGGCTCAAGCCAGGCTTAGAACTTCAGGCCCATACAGAGCCCTAGTGCCAATTAGTAGACGATATCTCAAAACTAGGATTCCGTGTTTTCGGTTAAATAAAAAAAAAAAAAAAAGACAAAGAAGAAAGGCAGTATTTTAAAATTAAGTTTGGCCAGCGCACAGGGTCAATGGTCCTATAGCAAAGTGCCACCACAGTTATCTTTCCAATCTCGAACCATTGTGAAAGGGGGTCTTGCCGCTTATCTCTTCACGGTTTATTCAGAACAACAGATCACTGTGCTTTCGAGTCAAAACAGAAGCCACAGTTTTGCCTTCCACTTTGGGCCATACTATTTATGCTTTAGGGGAAGGAGAGGTTCTTCTTTTGTAACAGTGAAAGCTGGAGCATAGAGATTGCATGAAATGGGGAAAAGGGGCAGTTGAGACTCGTCTATTACATCGTTTGCCACTCTACCTCGCGCGGCCGCGGGGGTAGCTGGAGGGAACAGGATGGGATGAATACGAACTTCCCAGCGACAACCTCCAGAAGCGAATTGATTTGAAGGTAACGACGGTCATGGAAGCAACACTTGTGTGCAACTTTTGTCGTGGCACAATTTAGTTTTGCCAATGTGAATAGCACCAACGCGAAATCAAGATGAAAAAATATAACTTGATACACGTGTTTTATTTTTTTTTTTTTTATCTAGCATACCTTTACAGTTTTACACCCGGATATTATTTATTTATTTTTAATAT